CTGGCAGGGTGCCGACACCTGGCAGGAGAACGACTCGGGTCCTCAGCCAAGACCTTCGATAAAATGTACACCCGAAAGGCAACGGGTCTAGCACATGGTAAGTTCACGGACTCATGCGGATTGGTGTGTCTGGCTCATAGCAGGGAGAAGTGCATAACCCAACTCTCACCCAGCGGTCGCCACGAGGAGGCGTACAGGACATGAGCCCATGGCACAACAGTAACAGCAGTGGGTAGATCATTTGTCAGCCTCAGCGCACCATAGGCCTGCAAACATACCAACAAACAGTAAGCGAGACGGGGGGTTATTGCCCCTATCCGCAGGGCAGTCTACAGCTGACCGATAATTTTTAATGTTTTCTTCCCAGAAGCTCCACAAGCTGAACACAAAGCATCGGCTTAATCCGGTTAATTGAAACCGCTTCTGCGAATCGGAGCAGGCGAGGATTGGTGTGCTATAATATGATCGTGAAGGCCGAAGTGACCTCGACTCTGTGACACGTGGTCAATAAGTGTCTTCCGATGGAAGAGGCCGGTGGTCTACGCGGAGAAGCAGCTTGAATTAGCCAGTTTTCTGCGCGGTCGAATGTTGCTCCTTTCTTCGGGAACTCAATGTCCTATCAATCCTACTTAATATAAATGGCTCCGCTGTCAGATAAAAGTTGGTATATGCAACTTGAATTGGCCCCGACAGGCTGAGACTCCTTTACAGAGAGAAGTGGCAGTTTTGGATTCGATTAATGACAAATACCTTGGCGGCATAGTAAATACTTTTCCGCGTGACACAGGTCAGACGCCTTGTGCTTCGTGGTTATTGTGTGTACTAGATCCTTTGGTCGTCCTTCGAGGGTAGCCATTTTCAATAAGCGTATCTGTGGGGAAACCAAAATTACGCTACCAGGACATGATTAAAGTGAGCCTCACACGTTCTAATCTTGATTGCAGGTCATGGGAATCGAAGGCGGTTGATCGGCGTGCATGGCGCGATCTGATCACGAAGGCAGTTGCCGAAGTGCGGGAGAATGACCTCATACATGCAGAGAAGAAGCGACAAGTGCGAAAGCGGCAAGCAACGATGGGTTGTACTCCATCGACATCAAGCGCATGGTGCTGTAGCACATGCGGTCGCGAGTGCCTGAGTCAGGCAGGCCTAGTGAGCCATGAGCGAGGCCACTCGGGACCACTACCGAAGCGACGACGGGTCCTGCAGAGAACGTAGGCAGAACCAGCGCAACGTTTGTAGGTACGCTGCATTCAATTTACTAACAGCGTGCTTGCATGCTCAGTCTATTTATTTCAGGTGGTGGGTTTTCAATTTTGTCCTAATGCTTTTCTTTCTCATATAAATGTCTACCTGTACGCTCTTCTATAAACTTGCACACGTCGCTGAAGCTAATTGTAGTTAATTTCGATGACATTTTCGTGTTTGTGTCATTTCAGTAAAATATACTTTCTGACCTCGTGAACTTATCTCGGATCCTTTGTAAACAACTTATTTCATATGCTCATTAATTTAAAACTTTTGTCACGTTTCCTTATGCATTACTCGATTTATTTTATTATCTTTCTCTCAAGTGTTTGGACATTGCTTGATATCCCCGGTGTGGCTGCGCTTGATGTGCATGTTGACAAGGTGCCTACTTGTCTATTACCCACTACCTCGTCCATACTGGCTCTAGGAGACAGTTAGTCGTTGCTGGGGGGGGGGACGGGGTGCACGGTTCTTGTGGCCGTGCTAGGCTCGAAGAGTGGTTCCATGCACTTAGTGTGGAGCAGACTACGATCCAGCCACCGCCTTGTGTGTGCGATTGATTCCCCAAATACAGCGTGCTTATGTTTGCCTGTGAAGGAGTGTGGGCCGGCTCCGTTGATGAGTCGTGGCCCCCATCCACATGCCTCCCGGTTTTATTCCTTCGGGTTTACACTGGATATCGGGTGTGTGAATGGAGCTGTGGGTGGTGCAGCGCAAGCCATCCATGGTCCCTCTGTATGCGCAGGCGTCCTGTGGCTGGCCAGAGTGACACGCAAATCCGAAACCGGATGCCGCCAACCATCTGTAAATAACTGCAGTTCGTCAGTCAGGCCATCAACGGAGCAGATTCATCTGGCACGACTAATGAGTTCTCAGGAGCGTCCGCTTGTATCGCATTGGCGTGAAGCTAGTGAAATGCAGATACTGGTCGGACCATGTTGCTTTCCTGTAAGCAGACCACTTAATCTGCCCGTTTTCTTTGCAGCTGATGAGGATACCCAAGGATTAAGCGACCATCCGGTGCGTTTCCAGAGGTCGACGGATGTCTGATACACTTCACTGATGAAGTCACCTTGAACAGTGATGAAAGGTATGCGACCAAATTGCCCAGCTCAATGGGCACCACAACGACTGAGCCTCTGATAATCGCCTTTTAAAAAATCACATGCATGGGACTAAGTAACGTATTTTGCCTCAACTAGACGCAACCAGACAACCATCACGCAAGGTACTGTGTGGCCATTTGGTCCTTTCGGGATTCGTCCGTAGTGAATATCCCACAGTTCTTCTGGGAGGCCATAACCCACGCGACTGATAAGCGTAAGAACACTCTTCAAACAAGTCCCTATCACTCTTGAAAATGACGGAGGAACAACGCCTATCCAAAATGCTTACATACAATGCATGCCACAGGAGTTCTATTTCACATCGGACAAACATCGTAAACGGATAACACAATGGATGTGCCATATATCAACGGGATCTCTGAGATTGTGGTGAGATTTTCATTGCCTTTCGGGATCAAGCTTGGCACAAATCGATAGAAAGGACTCGGAACAAACTTCAGTGCTAAGGACAGGCCTGGTACGGAGGGAACGAATGGGGTGATTTACACAATCTCCTACAAACGCTGTGACAAATACAATGTGGATCACATAAGAAAGGAGATTGGCACGAGGCTACATGAACGTAGTCTGAACATCAACTAACATGACTAGAACTCAATAAGAGCTGAAGAAGAGAATCATCAATAAGGGCTGAAGTAGAGCATGAAGCCGCGTGAGCTTATCGAGGACTGGAACTCGGGGTGGAACTAAATCAATAAACACTTGGATCTAGAGGCTGCCTACGAAGTGTTGCGAGTCAAACCAGCAATGGAGGAAGACGAACGGTTGCGAAACCTGGCCCATCAACTCGACAGATTTAAAGAAGCTAGTCATGTTCGATCATCGCTGCCTTCGCAACTTAGCTCATGTCTAGTGGGAGGACCGCGAAAGCAATGAGCATGTTCTGCGTCGTGTATTTGGTGCAGGAAGAGTGAGTGAACCGCCCAACATCGCTATTTCACGCACCAGATTCCAATGGCTAGGCTACGTGCTGCTCAAGCCAGCTCACCGACTTCCGCGACGTGCGTTGTTTACGCGCCGAGTGTGTGGATGAAAGAAGAGATGGGGTGGTCAAGCGATGACTTAGTCGAAAGGAATGAAATCCCTCACTTCGAAGTTGGCCTCGGTTGGAGCGTCTCGGCTCCCTGGTTGGGGTACGAAAGACGATGGATACGTCTAGTTGGATACACTAGTTGACAGGACAAGGAGCAGACATCAGTGGCGTTTGTATTGTGAGTTTCTTTGACCATGCTCATCCCGCTTAGCTTCCCTCTCCAATCACAATCTCTCTTGAAGTAGAATGTTACTAAGTGGTTTTTTGCATTCTGTAATTTTCAGCATCTTGCTTTTTCGTATATCTTATCTTTATGTACTGCGGCACAATAGTTGTAGTGTTACTCATGTTCAGCTAATATATAGTGAAGATGCTGAAAACAAAGGCACAAAGATTGTTAGGGCAACTCACGTTAATCCATCGAATCCTTGAATTCAAAGCAGCGATCGATCAATACTTGGATTTAGGAGTGGCCTCGAAAAGCCGGGGACGAAACATCTGCAGCCAAAGTACCCAGCTCGGAGAACAACGGAACATCAATACCCGCGGCCCTACACCTACGCGTCAAGGATCAGGGGCAAAGTTAAGCTTCCACTAGCAAAGGCAATATCGCCACGTGCATGATAGAGAGATCTCCAATAGTAACAGGAGGAGCAAGATGAACAGAGATTAAAGGGAGCGAATTCAGAAAATGTTCTCAGCTGGCTATGGCTATCGCGATTCCAGTTTGCCGTTGCTTAAAGGTGTAGCCCATGATCTCCACACTAAGCCCAGAATACTGTTGATGTCTCGGAATATGGTGCTTTCTGGAATGAATTGATTTGTGACGAATTCTGCTTGGACCATTGGAGTCTTCTTGTAATGTGAGCGCGCGGAACTGGAGAAATACGAGACGGCGTCGCTCACTCCTAACACTGCATTACGCGATCGACTTCGCCTGTGTTCGCGATGTTGTGACTGAAACCCTGGAGATCTGATCGCTAGACGTTGAGAACCTTGTGCCGCAACCGAAACACACGGGGTATCCCAAAATCCAATGGTGAAGTCTCGATCGTTATGCCAAGCGTTGCTCGAGTAGCTTGGTATCACAGTTGGCCGACACGTAGTACTTCCTTGAACCCACTCCTAGCTCCGGCCATCTCTATATAAAGAGTCCAAAGGGGGACGAAACCGATCGCGGAGTGTCAGTGTTGGGAGGAGCAACGCCGGAACTCCTCCACTTCGGATACGGTTCTGGGGATCGGATTGCGAGTACTCCAAGGCCCCACCTTGAGTTCCTAGTCGCTGTGCCGGACGTTGCTCACGGATCTCAGTGACCTAGTGATCGAAACGTGAACCGTTAACCATTAGGTCCCGAGTTCCACTCCCAGATCCGGCCATCTTTGCCTGGAGAGTTCAAACAAGCACGATCGAGCAACCCCGAAAACTCCCCGCTTCGGACACGATTGCAGTGATCGGGGGTGCTTCAAAGTGGATCACGATATCCAATGCGAATTGCGGGTCGTAACACGAAGGAGCCGCAAAATCTAACAATGAGAGTGCAAAATGGTAATTATTGTTATAGATCATGAGGATACGGAAGCACTCACTGCAATGTGTTGGGGCCACTTGTGGTACACGGTAGCACGTTCTTTCAATGCCATCAGATATGGTTCAGGAATCGGGATCACCAGACGTTTGCTGACTGCCTTCACGTAGCCATCGAAGTCGAAGTCTGACTCTGTGAAATACTGACAAGTATCAGTCACCAGCGCAGCACTCAGATCCAGGGCACTGCTGCAAGGACGTGGTGAACCGTCCGCAAGATGATTGTCAGTGGTATCCACATTCTCCAATTTGGCCGGTAAAAGTAAAGGAATGTTGAAGGGGTAGAAGTGCGCTGGACGTAGCAGTTCCCAGCATCGTCCGCGGCCAGGAAGTTGGGTTCCGGAATCGGTGCGATTGGAGTCCTGTCCTGTGTGAGGGACAAACAGAAGAGGATGTTGACAGCGAGTCGGGTCGGAGAAGATAGAGACCAGGTGATCTGGATTACAATGCGGGCTTGTGATCTCTAAGACTACAGGCCAGATCCGATTAGAGCAGCTAGCTGGAAGTTTGGATATCACAAGTGGGCCAGATGGTTCAGTCCCATCTCCGGATTAAAAGCTGAGAATCGTGACATACAAACTACACCAAATCATCGGAACAAAGAGAGTAAAAACAGCGTTGATAAACACAAATGAAGAAATGACGATGGCGAAGATGTTTGGAAGTTCTAATTCGAAATGGAACTGAGCTTTCTACACCTGTAAGAAGAGTGCACTTCGACACTTTGCGCTATCACGGTGGATTTGGAACGAAGAAATAGGGTATTTTCACCCAAGTCCACAATCGCGCCATGTGTGCTTCATTTCTGATGGATCAACTAGCAGGTGTGATTTAAATAGTAAGTTTACTATATGACGAGGTACTAGAAATTAGGACGTTAAAATGTGACTGTTCAGAAAAAGTGGATACAGTGCCAGAAAGGGAAATGTGTAGAGAATGACGAGTCGCTTAGAATTCTAAATGAGATGTTAGGTACATGGAGATGCTTGTTAACGAGAAAATCAGCGAGGGATGATTGTCGGGTTTTGGAGTACCCGACGTGTGTCACGTGTGTGCCATGCAATCTCAATTGTGGCCTCCATTGATTTTGGAGTCAACCTCTGCCAATACAGTTACTGGGACCGTTGTGGAGTGCGGGGATGGGAGAGCCACACCGAAACCCTCCACTTCGGTGACAGTCCCAGTGATCGTATTAGCAGAGGCTGGCGTTAAAGTCCACCGAGGCCATGATTGAGATTGCGTGTCGCAATCCAAGACAAACGGTGGATGCTCCAAAAACCCGAAAATCAACTTCTAACCGCTGTGTCAAGCACTGTTCGCGGAGCTCAATTGTCTAGTGATCATGGCGATAGCCGTCAAGCACTATGGGCCGAGTTCCACTCTCAGCTCGGCTACCTCTACCTGAGGAGTCTAAACAAAGACGAAACCGTCAATCGTGGAGTGCAGGGATGGGAGAGCCACACCGAAACCCTCCACTTTGGTGACGGTCCCAGTGATCGTATCGGCAGAGGCTGGCTTTAAAGTCCACCGAGGCCATGATTGAGATTGCGTGTCGCAATCCAAGACAAACGGTGGATGCTCCAAAAACCCGAAAATCAACTTCTAACCGCTGTGTCAAGCACTGCTCGCGGAGCTTAATTGTCTAGTGATCATGGCGATAGCCGTCAAGCACTATGCGCCAACTTCCACTCTCAGCACGGCTATCTCTACCTGAGGAGTCTAAACAAAGACGAAACCGTCGGTCATGGAGTGCAGGGATGGGAAAGCGCCAAACCGAAACTCTCAACGATGGATGCTTTCATAATCCATAACGAACATGAGGAATGTTAGTTGTCTATCTCAGCTGCCACCGTTGATCAGCTCTTAGAAAATTGGAATTCCGGGTGTTGTATGCGCTCACCGTTAGTTCCGTGTCGCGCCATGTAAGTACACATCTGCAGCTTGCAACTGATTGGATGAGTGTTTTAGATTAATCACTAACAAAGTCAGAGTCACTTTTCGGAAATACATAATCGTATTCGTATCCTGCCCAAGTGTTGTTCTTTCATCCGTGGATGTACGCCCTAGTGCTACAGGGCTCAAATGATCCATTGACCCATCGTACTTGCTGGGTGGAATATAAGAGAACTTTTTTTACTCACTGAATTCCCAGTACCCGATTGTCGAAGTCGCGTGATGGTCAACTGGAAGCTGTTCCCTGAGCTTCATCCTATCTTAAACTCTGCTGTCGAAAAGAGTATACACGACTCCACTTTATGTGATTTTTGTGGGTTAGGAACGTCTGGTTGTAGCTGACTAATTAACTCATAGTGTCCAAAAGGAGTTAAACAGACTAGGCTAGAGCCCACACCATTCTTTACGTACTTTGCGCCTGAAAATTGCAAAGGTGTTGTTGTTAGAGTGCGAAGACAAGGGGTGACAATTCTCACCGTTATCGGACACTTGATCGGTTCTCATTCACTCTGCCGGTCAGCCTCCCGAGAGTGGGAGTGAGAGTGTACAAAACTTCGAAGCGACAGGTGTTGCTGTCTGGATTAGCGGCATGGTCACTACGTGTTGAGAGTGCCAAGAATTGTGCACCATCATTCATCAATATACACGTTAGTTGCAGGTGGAAAATACTTCAGCTATTGTGCCAAAATACACAAAAAGAGAGAAACGAAACAGAGGCACGCCGACTGAGTCACAAGTAACGCATGAACATCGTTCCGGAGAGCTAACAGTCGCAAAAAATGAGTTATATTATGCCTAATAAATGAGATCGTGGCTGTAAAGGGAGGCTAGGCGAGAGGGACAAAGAAATTCACAACACAAACTCCACTGATGTTGGCCCTTTGCTATGTCAACTAGAGTATCCAGCCAAACGTGTTCATCGTCCTCCGGTCCCCAGTCAGTTAGCCGTGGGGCTCCAACCGAGGCCATCTTCAAAAGACCCTCATTCCTCGTGACCAAGTCATCGCTTGGCCAACCCTTTTCATCTTCCAACCGCATCCTCGTCGCGCAAACAACGCACGTCGCTGAAGTCGGTGGGTTGGCATGCGCAACACGTGACCCAGCCATCGGAGCCTGGTGCATGAGATAACGATGCTGAGCGGTTCGCTTTTCTGCGCCATAAACAATGCGTCGAACACGTTCATCGCTCACACGGTGTTCCGATCAGGCATAAGCCAAACTGCGAAGCCACCGGTGATCGAGCGTAACTAGCCTCTTTATGTCGGCTGATCTAAGGGGCCAGATTTAACAATCGTACAGTAGAGTCGAACATACGGCTGCAGGGAGAAAGTGATGTCGCGTCCGCGCCATGGGTGGTGAACGTTAGCAAAAGCGCCTGGTGCTTTTGCTATACGGTTTGGGACCTCGTCTTCAATTCCAACGACGCTGGTACAACTACGTAGGTAGTGGAACTTTTGAACGACTTCTAGCTAATCCCCCCTAAGAGTCGGCGCAGGAAGCGGTTCATGCCGATTTTGGAGGAAAGCTTCGCACTTTGAGGATGCGAAGCATAGTCCGAAATGGTAGACAGCCAATACTGATCTGACCAGTGCCTCTTCGCACTTTTGGGAGCTGTCACAGATGATGGCAATGTCGTCTGCATGCTCCAAGTCAAGAAGTCGTGTAATGCAAGCACGCGTTGAGACGTTAAGCGTGCCAGGTTTGTCGTCTCCGCCTAAGCCCCTACAGACTGCAGCCCGGATGCAGTCAAGGATAGCTTTTACCAGCAACTACAACTTCAGCAACAACTTCAGCAACTACAACTTCTGTGTTCCTCCAAAAGGAATGATATAGTCATTCTTGCCGGAGACTTTAACGCAGGGTGAGCCGCCTTCTACCAAGCGAGCACCACCTTGGCGGTAATTTTGGCCTCAGTGGCAGTCGATCAGACAATGGAGATAGACTGTTGACTTGTTTCTTTCGAGCACTAGTTTTCGGCACTCGGGGAGGCACACTGCTACCTGCCGCCCGTCTTCACAAACGCAAAAGTGCTCCCGGCTTGACCACATAACAATCAGCTACAGATGGCGGGGAAGCGTAATGGACTGCCGATCGTACTGATCAACTTATCTAGACTTCAACCACGCATTGGCTCGTGCTAAGATTTGCATGCGCGCTCACTATCGACCGGACGTCGCAAATATACAAAACCCTGCGATTTTAACCAGGTACCAAGCCTCGTTGTCAACATTATTTGGCTCAACTACTGACGGTGACCTCCATTCGCAGTGGGCGCAGATCAAAGATGCCTTAGCTCCCGCCAGTATCGACACCTGCGGAGTTGCCCGTCACCCACCGAAGCATTGGATTTCCGCTGTCTTTTTGTCGCTGATGGACAAACACCGCTTGATCCCATCGGATACCAGACACAGTGAGGAACACCAATCCCTGGGTCAAGAGTTGCACAGGAGTCTAAAATGGACCGCGAAGTTTGGTGGCGTGAACGTGCTAGGGAGATGGAGCTTGCTAGTCTCTGGTAATACCAGAAAACTTTTCCATCTCATTCGAGTTACCAAAGGTGTTTGATCTGGTAAAAGTGAAACAATATATGCGGAGGATCGCACTTTAATCACCAATCTTCAACGACGGTTGGAGCGATGGGCCGAACATTTTGGCTCGCAGTTTTGTTGGTCCAGCTCCATCTGCCACCTATGGCGCTCGCACTGGTGCCGAGTGGTCTACCTCCACAAGTCCTCCCTCTTACCAGGAAATCGAGCAGGCTCCGCAACATGAAGCGTTATAAAGCCCCGGGTCCTGATGGTCTTCACGCAGCTCTTTTTTAAAAATGGTGGCGTTTCGCTGGTTCGAGAACTCACTGCTTTGTTCTCGAAAGTTTGGTCGAACGATCGATAGTCGTCCCCATCTTCAAAAAGGGCCTGTGCACAACCTGCTCCAACTACAGAAGGATAATCTTAGTCCCCATCGTTTACAAGCTGCTGGTGTCCATCATACTTCGCAGGCTATCCCCAACGCGCGAATCGTCGCAGCGAGAAGAACAAGCTGAGTTTTGCCCTAGTCGCAGCTGCATCGATCAAATCTTCACACTTCGCCAGATCCTCGAGCTTCGCCATGTGTATCAGAGGCCAACGATTGCTGTGTTCTTGGATATCCGTGCAGCCTTCGATTCTGTCGATCGGACGGTACTGTGGCACTGCCTGCTGAGGAATGGCGTCCCCGAAAAGTTCGTCTCCATACTGTGCGCTCTCTATAGTCTGACCTCAGGCAGAGTTACGGCTTATGGCAAGCTTACGCCTTCCATTGTGGTCTCCAGTGGAGTTCAACAAGAATGCTTTATCTCCGTTCCTATTCCACTCTGCCATTGTGAATGTCCTAAGGAAATCCCTGGGCGATTCGTTGAAAGCTGGTGCTGAGCGC